GTGAAGGATCCTGAAATAACCGACGATTAGAGGCCTGGGAAGGATATGGTGAACATGGATTTTACATCTTCGTCCGTATTAATACATGATAGACAGCCTGACCTAATCGCGGGTGAAATCTTGTAGGGCCGCCGGTGCGTACGCGTTCGTCATTGATCACTAACGCCCGTTCGGTGATTAGTTACGTTTTTTCCGCGAGTGTTCTTAGAATATTCTTGGCTAACTTCAACGCCTCCGGCTCTTTTAATTTCGAACCGGTTTATTCACACGAATTTCTGACTCTGCTGTAGTTGGAGTGATTGTAATGGTTGGGGTTCGGGTCATGTTAGGGCTTAAGGCCAGGTTTTGGTGGAGTTAAGTTCATTATAAGGTTTACTGCTGATATTGGTCATATGTTTTGACTTGGGTTAGAGTTAAGGTCGGGGTTAGGGTTGAGGTTAGACTTAGGTTAAGGTTAAGCGTAGTGTATAGATTTCTGGTCAGAGTTGGAGTTAGTGTTACTGTTAACGTTTGAGGTTAGGTTTGGCTTTAGCGTTAGGCCTGACGCTGGGGTTACGGATTAAGGTTAGGTTTGGTTCTTTAATTGGTATAATTGTTAAGCTTGGTGTGCTGCTTAGAGTTAGTGATAAGGCTTAGGATTGGGGTTAGTGTTTGGAGTTTGGGGTATGGTTTGGATTAGCTTTAGTTGCGAGATTAGGTTTGAAGTTAGGTTATATGGTTCGTGTTAGGGTTGAATTTGGGGTTAGGTGTAGGGTGTAAAGTCAGGGTTAGGGCTTATTAGGCATGAGGTTCATAATCAAGCTGATAACATGCTTTACTCATATGGTTTGTCTGAGGACCTGAGCTAAATTTATGGTCGGGCATGTATAAAAACGACTGATCTATTGTTCAGTCGACGGGGAGCTGAATAATAAGGCCTATCTTAAATTCATAAGGGATGGTTTGCACTATTATGAGAATGATTTCTCCTTCTTTTAACAATCCGTCTGATTTCTTGTTGTTTCTTGCTTGTTAGATTGGCGCTCGTTTGTGTTTTTTTACATTGCCATCCTAATTATCTCTGGTGTTGCGGTTGCGGATCCCCTCCCTTTGTTTGTTTGGCTACTCACATTTTGCTGTCTAGCCTATCCCAAGACCATACCCTTGAGTGGCTCGAGTATTACACAATAATACCGGTTGGGCTTGAACACTTTACAGTTAATGAAGTTACCCAATATGTGCACAGATAAGCTGAAAGGTGTTATCTCTGCATGACCGCAGACAGCATACTCAACAGGCCCGAAAACTCGTTTATTTTGCAGCCCTCCATCGTTGGCCACCATTAGACGTGCAGGCTTACTATTATCCTGATAACATTTAGTCGCCTGAGTATACTCAGGTTGATAGGCAGATCCCATGCTCTCGGTATTTCTGGCTTACCGAGTGGCAGAATCATCCCAGTACCGAACTTCATTCAGTCATATTTATATATTTTAATCGACTTGCGCAACATAATTCTGCGAAATAGGAGTGTGCCCTGATAGCATTGAGACGACCCTGGCTAGCTAGCCCTGTCTACAGCTGACGGTGTGTGCGTGTGTGGTGCTAGTCACACGAAAGAATTCTTGCGCTGGGAGATTGCCGACTACAGTCAACCTCTCTTAAAATTAACGCGTTACCAGATAACCGGACTAGCCCTGGACGACCAAGGGGCTATCAGGGTGGGAGGGAAATAAATAGTTGAGCGGCCGGATAAGGGTTATTTA